TAATAACAAGAATCAATTATGCACTTTATTCATTTACAATAAATGGCATAATGTACATCAATCTGATTGGAGCTAAGGGCATACACTATTTAACACCATCTGCTCGAATAGGTACCCCAAAAACACTGATGCTAACGGAAGATGGTGACCTCCAGCAACCAGCACGACAAGGGGGACCAGCACCGTGCAAAGGCCATAATCAAGCAGCTCGAGAAAAAGGAAACGAGGCGCGATGTATAAAATAAATGCCGCAAGATGGCATTTTCTCTCTCCCCTGTGCACCATTACATCTCCCTTGTTATTGGCCTCAAACCAATAAGCCATCCATGCTTCAAGTGGCACTTTACCCCGGGTAATTGACTGGTCTACCTGGGACTTGAACTCAGCAATCTCCCCCATCAATTCCTCATAGAGTCCCAACAAGTTGGCAGGAAGGGACTTAAGAAACTGTAGGTGGTGTGTAGACACCAACCCACCGATTAGTAATACCAATAAGGTAACAACATCCTCGATAGTGATACCAAATTCACCGAATGCACCCACAAACATGTGAGTACGGAAACACCAATGATCCAATAGAGGTTTTAGATAACTCACTCCCTCCTTACTAGGGAGATCAAGAAAACAGTCTACAAAACGTAAAAGTCCAACATCCTGTAGAAACTGGAAAAACATTGGATTCCCTAAGATATGGCGTGCCCAGCTAGAATAGCTATTCAATGATTTCGAGCTATCAGTCCTAGGCTCCCGATACTTGAATGAAACCAACAGATCCAAACGCCCATAAAGACACATTAGTTCACTCCCATCAACAACATCAAAATCCCCATCCTTCCCCCTTGATACTGGCATAGGAGGCCACAAGCCCTTACCACCGTCACCCATCCTAGACGCCTCATGTTCAGATAGCATCTCTGCAATATCTACTTCACGCATGAAATCCATGAATGGGCATTCGGATTCCTTTTGGCGTGGAGCCATTGCCAAAGGATAAAGGAACAAAGAAGGAAATAGACTAAGAATGGTTGCTAGAAAGGTAAAGATAGAAATTAAGAGGGCAATCTGGCTAAGAACAAAAGAACACGCAAAAAGGAATGGTAGTAGGCGTACTACTCCTTTGTAAAAGCCCCATACGCATCCGGAATTCTAAATGACATCGGGGAAGATGAAACGATATGATTACAACTCCCCCATCGTCGCTTAACGAAAAAGTAAACTAGATAAATTACAATTATACCCCTACTCGAGTGGAACAAACTGGCGCATTAATTCAAAAGTGGTGCCACGTTGGCAACCACCACTTTAAATATCACATCCTCTCTCCGAGCCACACATGTGAACACAATGCATTTATGCAAAGACGATAGCTACAAAAAGCCCAAATCATGACTGCCACGTCACCGGCGCATAACAACTTCTCCATCATTCCAGCAGCGATCGAATGCAAAAAGCCACCCAAACAAAACACTCCTACTTCACACCAAGCATTCACGAGGGGTACTTCACCAAAGATGGGGGGCTGAAATTCAAAGCCACCACTTGACTTGTCTTTGGTAAAGCATTAAACTATCACGAAACAAGGGGCTAAAACTTCAAAGAAGATAACTTCCCCTGACCAAAGGGGAGTTGGAAGCCCAATCACTGATGTCTAATACTTGTCTTTTGGTGATTCACTTTCTACCAATAGGTAGGGGGCTGAACTCTGCAAACAACTTGAGTACAGAGCTGCCTACCGACAAAAAGCAAATTGTCAAAAAACAGGGGGGCTGAATCATAGAGTGAATGAAAAACTAGCCCAAAACGAACACCCTGGCTCCCATCTGTGGATACCACTAAACCGAATGTATGACTACTTATTGACTGGTTCGCAACTTGTCAATAAGCAAGGGGCTGACAACAGATCCAAATGAATTTTTCCTTGATCGCAGAAGATCCAATCAAGAAAGGGACGATCACTAGACTTAACGCACAAAGATCAGCATGCCACAACACACATTGATCCCTCTCTACATTACTCCATCACAAAACCTCAAGACAAATCCAAGGACAAAGATTCTTATCGGTAAGATTCCACTTACTGATAAGCAAGGGGCTAATGTAGGTACATAGTGATCGTTCAGACCATCAGAGTACAGAGGGTATCGAATTAATACCACATGGATGTTTGTGATGAGCTCATAACTCATCGGACATCTACGATGAGTTTATAACTCATCACATGACTGCGACAAATTCGTACTCGAAACAGGTCGCGATGAACTTTGGCTAGTGTAAACCTGCAATGAGCTTTAGGTACGCACAAATCTGCGATGAACCTTAAACATGCACAGATTTGCGATGAGTTTTAAACATGCGCGATCCCGTGATGAGCTTTGCATACGTGTGGATCTGTGATGGGCTTCAAAGTTATTGCAAAACCGCGATAAACGTAAAATTATTGTACACCAAGAATAAATATTAGTTACACGTGCGTCTTTAAATTATGCACATGACAGGACACCCGTGGGCTTAATAAAGGCGCGCCCACTAAATGATGACATCAATCGTGGCACGCCGGTTAAATGGATCATGAAAGGAAGTAGCACACGCGGACTATAAGAATCCTCAAACGAAAGGAAAGTTTATCTTGGAGATATCTCTTAAGACACGTGGCAAAACCCTAGCAGTGTTCCCTGACAACTGACAGCGAATCCAATATTCCCTTTCCTAGTGGGAATCAAACGCTTTTGGCTCATTCCATCTCGTAATGAAAAGATCATCTTATCATTCACATTTGCCCTAGCTTTTTGCCCACCTCCTACATCCGGTTTCCTTTGTCTTTCAGGGAGACTCCTGTACGTAGCCTCACCACCGCACTTACACTTTGATCTACTACTACTTCCTGTAAACTATCTTGGAGGCCAAACATTTGAGACTGCAAAAATTGGACCAAAACAATTATCTAGATAGCCTTATTTGAATTTGATCTCCATAGAGATAAGAAGATTAGTTCATTTCAAACTAGGGTTTTATGCATGACCATGTACACGATCTTGGCATTATCAAGATTCCTTATTTTAATTTCCTCTGCAAAACATTATGAATCTTTCACCTATGGGCCTAGAGACAAATTAAATACCCACCAAGAGTGGTTTCCCTAATGCTACCTAAAAGCTTCAAAGATATAGGGGTATTAGAACTACCATGTCAAACCAACATGTAAGGTGTAGAGAGTAGGATGCAATTTTTTAAGGCGAATCGAATTTATTTGCACTCATTCCATGTCCTTCCAAACACTCCACTTTGTGGTTCAAGGCACTAATTCACTAATGGATTTGTGATCATATACTACTTTTTTATTGGGATAAGTACACTACACTCCTCAGAATTCTAAATTCCACTGTAGACCTACAACAATTCAAAATTTCAAACACCTCCACCTATAACACCAATACTTGCCCGTGTATTGGCATCAATTCCAAATTGGCACCTACCCCAACAATACGATGGAACTAAGACTTGTTGGGGTGGACTAAACAGTAAAAACCCCTTTTTTTTTTTACTATCTGCCAATTTATCATAAATTATCTGTAATTCCCAATTTCACATTAAAAAACTTAAGAATTAAATAAATACTATAATAAAGATATTTATGAAAAACACAAAATAATTATAGTAAATTTAGCAATACTCAAATTATTAATAACTTTATATTTTTATGAAATTCATAACAAAATTATGTAATAACAATATATGTTATAATTATATGGATTATTCAACTTAATAATTAAATAATATTTTAAAATTTTAAATAATAAAATCATTTAAATTCTATTTAACTAAAAAATTAAAAAATAAAAAATTCTAATACTATAAAATATTTTAAATAACAAAATATTAAAAATAGCTAAATAATTATATATACTTATTTATTATTATGTAATAATTTTAATATAAAAAATATAAAATATTTTAAATATTATTTAGATATTTAAAGAGACAAGTATTTTAAATAACACAGTATTTAACATAAATACTTATTATATTTATGTGATATAATAAGTATTTACAAAATTATTTATGGATTCTTCAGTTTAATAAATAAATAATATTTTAAAGTTTTAAATAATGAATTTATTTAAATAACTAAATAATATTATAAACAACTAAATTATAAATATTTAAAATTAATATTTATTTATGTTCTAAAAATAATACTTATTATATTTATGTGATAAATCTATTCTTAATAATTATGTATAAATCTATTTTTAGATCATTATTTAATAGTAAAATTTTAATAATTATTAGAGATTCAACTATTGTTATTTAATTTTTTGAACTTTAATTTATTGTACTTATTAGATTTATTGTAATTATATTGTAAATTAATTTTTTGATAATTATATATTTTCATTATATTTTATTGGTTATTAAAGATCAAACTATTATCAAAGATTACACTATTTATTGATTACTTTATTATATTTTCAGCATTTATTTTATTTTACTAGTTATTAGAGGGTGAACTGAAATTAATTATTATTATTATCATTTTCATATTGTAAAACATTATTAAAAATAATATATGAAACATAAATGATTATTAAATATTTAAAAAGTTAAAATATAAAAAATTGTCTACTCTTATTTGTTTTTATTATTTAATTTTTGCTTAACAAAGCCCATGCATAACTCCGGTGTCCAGTCCCCACTAGTTTGCAGATATATGTGTAAAGGATTATTAGTATTTAAAATTACAAATATCCGTGGTATCCTACGATGCCAGTAGATTGGTATCAAGTTTTTTCTGGTATCATTACATTCCAGCATATCGATCCCCACGTACTGCACATATCGGTGACCCGGAGACTCGATACTATGTTGCGATATTTTATCCACTTGTTGACACGTAATCAAATAAAAAATCAACACAATAAAATTTCCAGCATACACTAAGTCTCGATCAGTAGGATTATTTCAGCTGGAGTAGCAAAACCTGGATGCGAGATTAACACTCGGGAGTCGAAGCTAAGATGGTCTTATTATCGACAGCTTCCACAGGATTGTACTTAGTGCCCTACCATGAAATGATGGCACTTGGATGGACAACCATGCCGTTCATTGAAATAGCAGATCTAATTAAGACTCTAATTGGCTAAGAATATGAAATAGATTGAAGGCGTCCAATTGGTACACTGATTACAAAATAAATGGAAAACTAAAGAGCAAAATGAGAAGGCATGTAACTTTGGAGACTAACAATAAGATGGATATCAAAGGGAATGATTCATTCCAACGATTTAAGGAGTCTGAACAGTCCAGCTGCTTCCCTAATCCGTGAGAACTCGATACAGAATGCCTGGACTTCAATGAAGAGATCTTGAACTGCATTATAAGATGGATAATTAATTAGCAACATATAACCATCACCTATTCACATAGTAACAAAATTGCAATTAATTCTAAGGGATCAAGTTAACCCAGTACAGAACTACAGGTACAAGATACATCCAAAACACTCGAGCACTCCATCCATATTTACCATATAAAATTCGGGTATGATGATTTCTACATTTTTTTTTTGATAATTTATGATGATTTCTACCTTTACTCCTGTGTTTTTTTTTTTTTGACACTTAATCAGCACCTCCCCAATCACTCTAATTCTCTATCAACTCCTATCCATTTTCTTTCAATCTTGATTTCTTACTCTACCCCCACACAAATGATTCCATTTTCCTTCTTTCCCTACTCCATTGGTGGCTCTACATGTCAACCCATTTTAATCCACATGCCTCCTAATCCCTATTGCTCTATTTTTTATACCCATCTCTTGTTTGATCAACTAGGTTAATTAATTAGCTTTTTAGTATTTTAGAATATTGTGTATTTTTGCCATATTAATTAATTGTGTGACTTCACCTCTCAAAAAATTTTATTGCACTGAGCAGAACATAGCATAATGGAGAAACAGGATTCTTGTAGCCGACCCCATATAATTGAGACAAGGCTTAGATAATGATGATGACGGTGGGTAGTACTCCATAAAGTTCTTGCTTGTATTGCTTAATGCATCCTCATAATCAGTAAAAGAACTATTACACATCCCAATAAAATAAATTACTTGATATTCCTAGGCAGTCAGATCACCCAGCAGCAGTGAAGCACTTAGGCAAGCACACCAGGGTGGTATGTTTATGCATGTTAAGAAACAAAGGTACCTTGATCTGTATACAAATAGTATATGGAATATTATACATGGATTAGATGGCAAACCTAAAATGGGTTCAACAAACACAATTAATATTGCAAGTGATCAGAATGGCAAATGTACATTACTTGTATAGACTCACCATTGATTATCTTATTGCGGATTAGGCTCTGTAAGAAAACACATACAAGCCTCACAAGTCTGTTCTGCATATATTTGTCCTGTAAAAGGGGAAACAGAGATTCTAAGGAGTTATTCCAATGTTACAAACAAATCTTAGGACACTACAAATGAAGTTGAGAAAGAGGCCTCAAAAAGGACAAGGAAGACAGTAAAAGGGTGTGAAACATTGCATTTCTCAGATAAAGCAGGGATTTGTAATTAACTGGACCAAGTTTGGGATTGTAACAGCACCTTGTATGGAACTTCCTGTGTTCTTCAAGATAGTAGGAATCTTCACTTACAAAATAAGAATGGCAACAAAATTTTTGACAACTCTTTCTTTTCTGGAGTTGCCCATTAATCATTCAAAGTTCATTGCAACACAAAACCCCGTAGCCCATACCATAGTTATCCTGGTTACCTTCAGAAACATAAACCTTATGAACTCTCAAGGGAATCGAGCATGTATTCTTTCTTATATACAACCAGCCTTTCAACCACAGAATTTTGTCAAAGACGGAATAATCCTTATTTATTTGCATTAGTCATGGATGAATTGACTAAACATATTCAGCAAAGAAACCCCATTGTATTAATTGATGAAACTAGCGATTGATTAAATGCAAGACCAGGTTTATGGACAAAGAGGTTTCAGAATAGGACTAAAATCAAATATATAATAATAATAATAATAATAATAATAATAATAATAATAATAATAATAATAATAATAATAATAATGATGATGATGATGATGTTGGGTAAAAGACTTAAACCTCCCTCCATGTTTCACTTAAATACTAAAACCTCCCTTCACTTATAATGGACTAAGACCCCTGTCAGATAATATTATTGGACAACAGCCTCCCCTAGGTTAGCAATGAGTGAAGATCCATTTGCATACAACATCAAACGTGGATGAAATTTAGTTAAAAATCCAATTTTGCCCCTTTTTAAGGTTTGGGTACTTGGGACAAATTTGATTGATTTATCCTGGCAGCTGAAAGAGACCAATGAATGGAAAACTGGCCTTGGTCACTTCAAGCAACCACTAAACCATTTGCTGTAACAACTGCGATATGGTGACCAATCATAACTGTTCTGCTAGTTAAGCCCAAGTAATCTTAATTTAGATTCTTGTAAATATTTCATATCCTTTTGAAGAGAATATATTCTCTGTATTTGTAGTGAGATGCATTTAATTTTTCTTTTCCTTTGTTTCTTTATAATCTTTTTCATTTTTTTCTTGTTTGGGCAAAAACAAATGGAGGGGGGACCCATTGAATGTTATTTTAGCTTTGTATTGCATCCAATTCCGTAAGTAGAGTTGCATGTTCATCATCTAAACTGAATTCAATTTAATTTGTCAGTCTGAAACTCCTCCCCACCTTTTTTAATAACGTTTCTGTAGTTCTGGTGCTACAAAAAATTGAAAAAGAAAATCATTTGATGCAAATACATTACATTACATTACAGAGTGGTTAAGGGGTGGGGGCAGAGGAGGAAACACATGAGGTCCACTAATTTTTGAGGTATTGATCAACCAAGGCCAAAAAAACAAACTGGCAAACAGAAAACCATTCATAACCATAAAATATTGCTACTCTCATTTTGCGGAAGAACAGATTTGCAAAAATAAGGGTAAGAGGTTGATCTGCAAGCTGAATCTTTCAATACATTAGCAAATAGGAAGACATTTAAAGATACAGAACCAACAATATGGAGTCTGGGAGATTAATGCACGTTAGGGAGTGGGGACTAGAGAGGCCGATCAATGGAAGAAACCAGTAAATCAACATGAAAACTTGACGAAGCATAGGCCAAGACCGAAGATAATGGAATGGACAAAGAAACTATTCCACTGTTTTGGAAATTTGAAAAATTAGCAAGGGTAAAGGAGTCCTTTTGATGACTCTGTTAGAAATAAATTTAATAGGGGAGGTCTTAGTCTTTTTGAAAAGGAAATGGGAGGTTTTAGTATTTAGTAGAATTTCGAAGGGAGGTTTAAGTCTTTTACCCATAATAATAAAGCAAATCAATAGTAGTACTCATCAAAAAAGTAATAATATTAATGCAATAGAATTAGAGACCAAGAGGTAACTCAATGCGATTTCTTCTGTTACCTTTGGTTCAATAATCCATAACAAGGGAGAGATTCAAGAGGGCACCACCAAATAAATTAGAAAAGGATGAGCAAAATGGAGGGACGCATCCAGAGTCTTATGTGATAGGTGAATACCACTTGAGCAAAAAATGAAATTTGTAAGGCCAGAAATGCTTTGTAAAGTTGCACAGTTAAGAAACATGTCCACAAAACGAGTAGAGGACAGATTCAGAACTGAACTCATTAGAGGAAACCTAATAGTAATAGGTGATGATGGTGCGCAATCCGGCTGGTCCTAGCTGCCAACGACCTTGCCTCTGAACGGAGCTGCTGGGAGCCTGAAACAGAGATGGGGAAGCTCCAGGGGGAACCCGGTATGAATGCTCCGAAGCTCAAGTTAGAATTCTTAGGCAAGATAAAACCAGATGGC